AAAAAGGCAGGATTTTAATGATTTTTTTTTAAAGCTGATCATGGGGACACAGAGCTAACTCTTGTGTTTTTGCACATTGGACCATTTCTATAATAAAATGAAAATGACCAGAAGGGCCTCATTCCCAGTGCAGAGTCTCGGGAGACCGCTGATATTGGCTCTGAGACCTGAACGTTGGGTAGGAGGGAGTTGAGGGAAGATGAATGAGGAAAATGCATTTCAAGTGGAGGGCAGGGCATATGCAAAGGACCCGGGGCAGGAAAGAACACAGCCCCTTCAGGAAACTGAAAGGAGGAAAGTGGCGAGAGTCGAATGAGGGGGTGAAGAATGAGGGGGTGCATTTCCTTCTCCTGACCCCACTTCTCAGCTGCCGGACGGCCATGGGGCCAGAGGAAGCTTTGGGGGGGAAGTAAGGTGTGGGGAGGTCCAGCTGTTCCCTGGGCTCAGGCCCCAGAACTCACTGCAGAAGGCTGTGCAGGTGCTCGGTCTCCGTTGGGCGCAGATTGGCCTGCAGGACATGCAGCCGTTCAGCAAGGAGTCCCAGTACTTCTCTTCAGGGCAGGATCTCATAGCCACCCCGAGCCACAGGCCCTGTGGAGCTGAGAGGCAGGGAGCATAAGGGTGGCTGGCAACAGATTCCCAGGGACTATTCCCTGGGTCTCTCTCGGTGGGCAGAGGGCACCCAGGCAGAGCTGGCTCCCCATTCCAGCTGCACTGACTGGTGCCACCTCACCTTTCCATGCCCGAGTTTCCCCCATCTACGAAATGCTTATTCTGAGAGTCCCTCCCTCCTTCACGTCAGCTGCACCCTGCCTGGCCGTGCTCTCTGCCCTCCTTCCATGCTCTGCCTCTTTCTGCCACAGGACCTTTGCACACGCTGTTCCCATTACATAAAAGGCTCTTCTTTCCCCCCAACCCACAACCCCTCCCCATCCTCAAGATTTCTGAAGCTTTTTTTTTTTTGTCTTCAGGGAAGACCTTTGTGACTCCCCCGACCCTGTGACAAGCCACTTTTGCTTGTCACTGAGATAACTTTCCTTTCGCGCTGTGTCTTGCATCAAGCGGAACAGAGAGTCTGGATGGAATTGCTAGGTCCTCAGGACCTGGAGAGTGCCCAGGGCATAGCAAGGGCTCATGAAAGGAATGGATTTTTTTTTTTTAAAGCCGACTTTACCTACAGCAAACACTCTGTCAATGTTTCCTCCCTTCCTTTTTTCTTATTTAGTGTGGTGTGAAACACAGACAGGGACGTGTGCAAAATGCACAAGCCTTCCACATACAGTTTGGTGACCCTGGATCCATGCTATCATTTCAGCCCACTGTGGAGGGAGAGACGGGCAGGTCCCTGCACCCTGGACCACTCCCTGGGGCCACCTCTCATCCCAGGCTCTTCCCAGGGGCCCCTAATGTTTTGCTTTTTTTGCTTCCTTTGTTGCAATGCTGGGGTCAAACGAGGCAAATGCTCTGCAGGGAGCTGCATCTCCAGTCCTGCTCTTCCGACTTCTTATCCCCGCCCTTCTAGAACTTTCCTGTCTGGCTTTCTCTGCCCACACGATTTCCGAGTCTCACCTGCGCCGGTGCTTGGCAGCCTGTACGTACTCAGGCCGAGATGCAGCACTTCTTTGATAAAAAATGTTCTGTCTGTTCTTAGGACACTGGCCTCTCCCTTCTCTGAACCCAGGAGCACTTTACTCCGGAGCTGCATCCCCAGCCCCCCTTTTATTTATTTATTTCTTTCCAGACAGGGTCTTACTAAGTGGCCCCGGGCTGGCCTTGAACTTGCCATCCTCCCGCTCAGTCCCCTGAGTCTCTGGGACTGCAGGTGTGCACCCCTGTGCCTGCTCCCAGCATTTCTTATTCTCTATCCGGGAGAGCGTGAGGGACGTCCCCCTGAGCAACTCTTTCCGCCTCCGTCTTCAACAGCTGAGAATCAGCAGACGGAAAGAACTCAAACCCAGCCAACCGAAGTCGGGCACCTGGGGCCAGAGGAGGTGAGGCAGGAAGCACAAGAAGAGCTCCATTCCCTGGTCCCCAAATCCTGGAAGACAGCAGTGGGGAGGGCATTGCCCAAGTTCCTGGTTAGCATCTGCTGGAGCCAGGTTGGGCCAGAAGGCCCTGATCCTTATGATATCAGGGTTGTGGGTTCTGGTTGCTGACTCTGCTGGTCTGGATCACTCAGGGCCAGCACCACGGTGAACCCCACAGGGCTGACGTGGCTTCTGGGGAGGATCCCGGGTGACCACCAAGCTAGAGGAACAGAGACTTCAGTGACGGTGCACAGCAAGGAACACATACCGTGTGCAAAAAGAGTTTGAAAAAGTCACAAGTGAATGGCTCCAGTCCTTCATGAGCAAGAGCCAGTCCCCGGGGAGTGGGGGAAACCAGATTTCCAGAGTTACCACAGCATAATACGCAAAATGTCCAGTTCTCCAAAATATCACAGGCCTAGAAACGCTCACAGGAGATGAAGAACGTGACATTACGTTATCTCCACAGAAGGCTGGATGTACATTGGAGCCATCAGCCAAAGGTGTTGAATCAGGGATCTTGACTATGTTCAAGGTAGATCAAGGAAATCACGGGCAAAGAACTAAAGGAAATAGGAAAACCATGTCTGAATAAAAAAAAGAACATGTACACTCACACACTGCTGGTAGATCTGCAAATTGGTGCAGCCAATTTGGAAGGCAGTATGGAGATTCCTTGGAAAGCTGGGAATGGAACCACCATTTGACCCAGATGTCCCTCTTCTCAGTCTATGCCCAAAAGACCTAAGAAGAGCATACTACAGGGACACAGCCACAATGTTTATAGCAGCACAATTCACAATTGCTAGACTGTGGAACCAACCTAGATGCCCTTCAGCGGATGAATGGATAAAATAAAAATGTGGCATTTATACACAATGGAATATTGCACAGCAATAAAAAATAACAAGATCATGGCATTTGCAGGGAAATGGATGGCATTAGAGCAGATTATGCTAAGTGTATGAAGATGTGAGGGGGGAAAAAAGAACAGCATCACCTTAGCTTGGGTAGAGAGAAGAGTTGGGAGGGGCGGGAGGGGAAGGGGGGATAGGAAGGGCAGCAGAATAAAACAGACATTAGTATTGCTGTGGGTATGTGCGTGACTGCATGACCAATGTGATTCTGCAAACTGTACACTCAGAAAAATGAGAAATCATACCCCATTTGATTCAAATGTGTGATCTGTCAAGGTCATTGTATTGTCATGTGTAACTAATTAAAACAAATACACGGCCAGGAGTGGATCTGAACGTAGACCGTGGACCCCAGGTGG